CACATTGCAGAAGAAAAGAGTAGTATACCTGAAGACGTAGCAAAATAAACCATTTGAAATGAAATAGAGAACAGACTGAAAAATTAAAAGAACACGAATTGTGGTTGTGTGGAAACCATATTGATAGTCACTTGAAGTGGAAATTGTCTTAGCCCTCTAATTACATGACAAAGATTGTCAGATTGGATAAAAAAAGCAAGACTCAGCCCCAATATCATATAACCACAAATACAAGCTGAGAAAAAGCCTCTTCTGCTAAACATATAAAACATACCATGGGCCAAGCATCACTACGACAGTACTCACCTAATCTAGTACAACTGTAATTCAAGTAGGTCTTTATGCACATCTCTGTAGGAGAGCAACTGGGACGTTAGCACATTGAGGTGTCTAGAGAAATCTGTAGTGATCATGGCCAGTGGACAGTGCAGAACTGGGAGAAGAGGGTGGGTCATCATAGCAGAGGGATGGAGTGGGACTGTGGCACAGTTTGGCTACTACTCCCAGCAGCTGAAGGGGATCTGAGGTACTTGGATTCTGAATGTGCGGGTGAAAACGAAGTCATCCAACACCATTCATTCACATGCTCTTTACCTCCTTTGGGTCCCACAGCAGCCCTGGAAATGATCATCTCCATTTTACTGAGTATGGTAAACACTATGGGGTTACCATGGTAATAACTACTAAACTAATTAGCTAAAGGATCCGTAACTTGTTTGAAATTCATTATTCTTTTCAACAAATTTTCCACTCTTTTAATGGCTGACACATTAGTTTGCTTCCTCTTTTAAAAATCAAACTTTAATTACAAACTAACATTTATTAATTTAGGAAAAAATAGAAAACTTAAAATTAATTAATACTCGTGATCTTAGGAAATAAAATAAGGTGTTGAAGATAAGATTTTAAAGCTTTCTTAATACAGTTTTTCTTCTGCTCAAAATAACAACAAAAACCACTTTAGAATGTGTTACTTTACAGTCAGAAACACAAAGTTCATTTGTGTGAAAATGATTTTTTAAATGGGCATACATCTGAAGATTTCTGTCTTCATATGAAAGTCAGAAAAACTTATTTTTATTTATTAAATAGAAAATATTTTCCATCAGAGTAA